TCTGCTCCCTCTGTACCCCCATTAGATATTAGACCTGACTGTGTAGTGGCTGACACTTAGTAGGTACTCAGTAAATGTTGAATTTATGGATTACATAGTATCTTCAATTGTTTATTCTTGTATGACATGTAATTCACATCTTGTTATTTATTCTTTATTATTGCTTATAAACTCAGCATTATTATTAGTACTTTGGGTCTGTCTGGAGGAAACTTCTGCTCTTTAGAACCCTGGAAGATACCACTAGATTAACTGAAGATGACTGTAGTCATCACCAGAAACCCTTTCTAAAAAGTCAGCAAAGTAAGTAATGGCGTTAGCCTGGTAAAATACACATTCTGCTTCCTTAAAAGGAGAAGATGTTGCTCTACTCTTGTTTCTTATGCACCTCCAGTGCTTGTAAGAGACCTCTGGAGAAAATGTTTGCTACAAAAGCACAGATATATGTGCAAGTATAAGCTCATTTACTAAAGAAATACCAAGGACTGCACTTATAGGCAAGACTATCTTTAGAAAGCTATTTTTAATAAAACTTTAAGCTTACCTACTTCCATAAGTAAAGTTGCAAATATCTATTTGATAGCTGCACTCTTAGTCCATTGAACTTAATAAATACACTTTTCAAGGAACCATTCTCATCTGTTAGGTGGAAAAAAATTATTAGAGTCTGACACCACACATTATTGTATATCTGATTTATTAGGTAGTTTACATAGCCAGGTGTCTAATAGTTAAGAAAAGTTGTTCCCTGGTATTGGTGTAAAAACAGACACAAAGATCAATGGAACGGAATAGACAGTCCAGAAATAAACCCACACATATGTGGTCAATTAGTTTATAGCTAAGGAACTGAGGCTGTACAATAGGGGAAGGACAGTTTTTTCAATAAATGGTGTTGGGAAAACTGGATGGCCACATGTAAAACACTGAAACTTGAATACTGTTTTACACCGTACACAAAAATTAACTTAAAATGGATTAAATGACTTGAACTAAGACCTGAAACCATAAAACTCCTAGAAGAAGACATAGGCAGTAATCTCCTTGGCGTTGGTCTTGGCCACGATATTTTGACTCTGAGACCAAAAGCAAAAGCAACAGTAAATAAGTGAGACTGCGTCAAACTGAAAGACTTCTGCACAGCAAAGGAAACCAACAAAATGAAAAGACAGCCTACTGACTGGGGGAAAATATTTTCAAATCATATGTCTGATAAGGGGCTAACATCGAAAATACGTAACTCACACAACTCAATAGCAGAAAACCCCCCAAACAATCCAATTTTAAAATGGGCAAAAGATCTGCATAGACATTTTCCCAAAGAATACAGATGGCCAACAGGTACATGAGAAGATGCTCAACATCATTAATCAGGGAAATGCAAATCAAACCCACAACGAGATCACCTCACACCTGTTAGAATGACTATTATAAAAAAAATACAAGGAATATCAAAAAGACAAGAAATGACTTGTGTTGGCAAGTATATGGAGAAGAGGGAACCCTTGTGCACTCTTGGTGAGATATAAATTGGTGTAGCCACTGTGGAAAATGGTTTGCGGGTTCTTCAAAAATTCAAAATAGAACTACCTACCATGTGGTCCAGTGGGTATTTATACAAAAGAAACAAAACTAACTCAAAAGGAGATCTGCACCTTTGTGTTCATTGCCGCATTATTTACAATATCTAAGATATGGAAACAACCTAAGTGTCCGTCAGTGAATGAGTGGATAAAGGAATTGTGGTGTAGGCACACAATGGAGCATTGTTCAGCTATTAAACAGAACAAAATCTTGCCATTTGCGACAACACGGACGGACCTCGAAGGCATTATGCTAATTGAAGTAAGTCAGACAGAGAAAGACAAATACTGTGTGATCTCTTATATGTGTAACCTTTAAAAAAAAAAAAAGCTCATACATACAGAAAAGAGATTGGTGGTTGCCAGAGACAGAGGATGGGGGATGAGAGTTACTGGTGACAGGGATCAAAGAGTAAAAAGAAAATAAAGAAAATAAAACCAGTAAATTACACAAAAAAGTTAAAGTTGACAAAATAAACAGGGTCCTACATGTCCGTTTCTGGAGCAACCCTCTCAACCTTACAGGTGCATTTTCAGTGGGAAAGTATTAAGAGTAGGACATTAGTACTGACTTTGCTTTTCTTCTTTCCAGTTGTGGTATATTTGGTTATAAAAATGTCATGCCATCATCAGTAGGTCATTACACTATTCTAACTATTATAATTAATATATTTAAGAGTTTTTTCTAATATTTGTCATAATTATTGCAACACATGTCATTATGCTAGAGGTCCTACCCAGTGCAGTAAGGCAAGAAAAAGAAATAAAAGGCAATAATCCAATTGGCAAGAAAAAGAACTGTCTTTATTCATAGACAATATGATCATTGATAACAGAAAATTTGATGCAATCTACAGAGAAGCTGTTAGAGCTGGTAAGTTTAGCAGTGTTGCTGGATACAAGCGCAGTATACAAAAATTCAGAAACTGAGATTAATAAACTATTTACAGTCACATCAAAACACATGAACTACTTAAAGATAAATCTGACAATACAAGCACAAGACCTATATATTGAAAACTACAAAACACTGTTGAGAGAAAACAATGGAGGCTTAAGTAAGTGTAGAAAACGACCATGTTTATGGGTCAGAAAATTCAGTTTTGTTAATACCTCCATTTTCTCCAAAATGATCTGTAGGTTCAAAGCAAGTCAGATGAAAATCTCAGCAGGGTATTTTGTAGAAATTGATAAACTGATTCTAAAATTCATATGAAAGTGCAAAGAACTTAGAATAGTCAGAGCAACTTGGAAAAAGAATGGAGTTGGAGAACTCGCACTACCTGATTTCAAGATTTATTATAGACCTGTAGTCGTCAACAAAGTATCGCAGTGGTATCAAGATGGATGTGTGGATTAGAGCAGAACAGTCCAGAAATAGGCACATACGCAGATGGACAATTGATTTTTCTTTTTTTTTTTTCCTCAAAATAGGACAGTTGACTTTTGACAACAGTGAGGAGGCAGTTCATTGGAGAAAGGATAGTCTTTTCCAGTTGCTGGAACAATTAAATACCCATATGAAAAACAAAACCAAAGAACTTTAGTCCATACCTGCAACATACTAAAAATTAACTCAAAACGGTGAATGGTCTAAGTGTAAAACCCAAAGACATAACATTTCAGGGGGAAGCAGGTGAAAAAGTTTTTGTGACCTGAGTTAGGCAAAGATTTCTTGAGTGTGTCACCAAAAGCAAGATCCGTAGAAGGATAATTTGGACTTCACCAAAATTAAAGACTTTTGTTTATTGATAGATGCAGTTAAGAGAATGAAAAGACAAGCCACAGATAAGAAAAACATTTGCAAGTGACTTTTATCTAGAATATATAAAGAACTCTCAAAACTAAATAATTAAGAGAACAGAGAACCCAGTGAAAATGTGCAAAACATTTGGACAGACAGTTAAGGAAATATATGGATGGAAGAAAGTACATGAAAAAAACCTCAACATCATCAGTCATTAGGGAAATACAGATGAAAAGCCCAGCGAAATACTGCTGCACACCTATTGGAATGATAAAAATTAACAAGTGCTGACAATGCCAAGTGTTTGGAAGGATATGGAGAGACTGGAACTGGTTAGAATGTAAATGGTACAACCGCTTTGGAAAACAGTTTGGAAGTTTCTTAAAAAGTTAAACATATACCTGCCACGTGGTCCAGCTGTGTCACACTTAGGTTTTTCCACAAGAGAAATGAAGGCATGTGTCCATATAAAGGCATGTACATAAATGTTCATAGCAGCTCTATTTCTAATAGTGAAAAACGTGGAAAAGTCCCAAATGTCCGTCAGCAGGTGCATGCATAAACAGATGGTGTATCTACACTGTGGAATATTACCATTTCAACAGGAATGGACGACTCACAAAAATTCTGAAGGAAAGAATCCAGGTTTTAAAAAATGAATGTATAATTTATCCATATAAAATTCTAGATAAAGCAAACTAGAGTGACAGAAAAATTCTATTGTGTGGGAGCTGATGAGGAATTACAGAAAACTCTGGGGTGGTGAATAGGCTCACTGTCTTAATCGTGGCAGTGATTCCATGTGCATGCGTGTGTCAGGACTTAGCAAGTGGCATACTTTAAATATGTGTGGTTTATTGGAAATCACTTATACCTCAGTAAAGCTAAAAAGGGGGAGAGAGAGAGCGAGCGCGAGCAGGCTCTACTGTTAGAAAGCCCAGGTAAAGGTAAGGCCAACAGGACCCGACTCTCGGGGCTGTCGCGAGGACCGTGGGTTTTAGTCTGTGCTCGGAGCTTAGACCGGGCCTGACTCAGCGCTGTCCGCGGTTCCTTGTGACTGTGTCTTGTCTCCTGGACCATAAGTGCTTGGTGAGCGAGGCACCATGCCGTGGTCATCATTTCACTTCGCCTACTTTCGGACTCGGCATGGTATCTAATTGTATAAACCTCAACTTCATGAACAATACAAGCCATTGTCTTGACAAATTTTGAGTTAATACTTAAATAACAGAATCAGCATCCTTCAAACATGCAACATGGATAAAGATTAAAAGAACTGAAGAATTTTGGCATACACTGCTCTGGACTAATTTGTGAATTATGGTGTTTATATGTTCAGAATTATATGAGAAATATTTACAGTGTTATATTGTCTTAAAGATGTATCTTTAATTTACACATGTGCACAGTGGGTGAGCATATGTGTTTGTATATCATACTTATGCCCTGAAAATCATTTCCTTTGAGCACTCGAATGTAGACATCACCCCTGTTTCTTTGACTTATTTTAGAATGCAGTTAAGTCCTTGGGAAAATCACTTATGTCATAAGTGAGGAATGCCACCAAAATAGCTTCTCACTTAAGTTCCCATCCCTAGAGCTCACCAACAGGAGGTTGCGATAAATTCAAATATTTAATAACTTGTTTTTTTCTTTCTCCTTAAACACAGGCCCTCTGGTCCTGGAGGCAGGATCATGTGGTGGATTCTTGGCAGTCAGCAGTCTGTGGAGCTTTTGCAGGTGCAAAGGATTATATTATACTGGGAAAGACCAAAGGGGGGGGAATGTGAAAATATTAACTATGCAAAAACAACATTCTTTAGAAATTCCAGATTGTTTAGATGAAAAGAGTTCCACTAGTTGTTTGAGAAAGAAAGTGTCTTAGGGAAAAGAAAAACCTAAAAAGGTGTCCGCTTGAAAGACAACCAATTTGTTTTTGACAAATTTTCTTTTCCTTTTATCTTTATTAAAGCCTTCACTCAGGCCCGGGGACCATCTGAAAGATGATTTGTCAAGTCCTGTGGGGACGAGCCTGGCTGTGGGCGAGGGCTGCCGGTGCAGCTGTCTCCCTGGGCCGCGCCGTGGGGTTTACGCAGACCCTGCAGCAGGCGGTGATTCACGGTTTGTGTGACATCTTTGACAGCACCGCAGATTAACTGGTGTCAGGAGAGCAGAGGCAGCTCCAGAGTTACTGGAGGCGAAGCTGCTCTATGTAGAAAAGAGGGAGATCGAAACATCTGGGCATTTTCTAGACATTAAACTGAGAGCACAGTGACAATATGCAATACTGTCATCCATGATGTCACGTGAATTTTCCAGGAATGTTCTAATGAGGACTTAAGTGCTTCATGGAATTTAATAAGCGGTAGGTTTAACATTCTGAGATAAATGTATTTTGTTGTTGCAAATAAAGGTAAATTAGAATTATAGTTGAAATAAGTCGAAGTGGAGGTTTGCCAGAAAGCTGTGAATTGCTGGTTTAGCTGTGAAGCCAGTAGTAAGTTGATACGTAAGTTTAGATGTCAACATTGTTAGAAAAAATTTATTTTTTCAATTTTCTTAATGGTTGTTGGATTGGGTGCTTTGTTGTAATGATTAGGAAAACAAAATGTGTTTTATTGGATTCTTAATTAATAATTGGGCCCACTTGACTTGTATTGATCATCAAAAATGGGAGTGTTGCCTGTAGACAGGAAGCCAGCTCACGGTGGTGGTGATGGTAATTGTTTCCACATGGCACAGTCATTAGCTGTGTTAAATGAGTAGGTGGTCGAGATTCATTTTCCAGAGGGCCAGTGTCTATCCCCGGTCCCTACCTGGGAAATGTGCATTGCTGTTGACTCCCTCCTGGGCCTTGGGACAAAGTGAGCATTATTATGGAAACGTGGTTGTCCTGGATAGGAAAGGCCACTTTTTACAGTTAGCAACATCATGAAACCTCCTTATGTAGAACCTGTTTTCTGGTCCCATTCCTCAAGTAGCTGATTCAAAGATTTGCTTACAAACATATTGTTTCTATTAAGGAAATTTGCATTCTTTACAGTTCCTTTTTCTGAATAATGCTTTGTAATAGGCAGTAAGCACTTAGATTAGTCAGAAAGGGGAAATAAACTTTTTATCAGAGGCCTACTGATCATGGGATCCTGTAGCTCGCCGTGTCCAGTGACAACAGAGCTTTGACATGAGCAGGGATGGGTTTTCGAGCCACACATTTGTGCAGGCCATCTGGCTGGACTTACGAAAGTTGTCAAGTCTCCATGTTTCCCCTAAGGAATGAGGCTTGGGGCCTTTGTAAGCACCATTCCTCACTGTGACAGAGAAGTAACCCTCCCTTCCTAAAGGGGTTACTGCACTGTAGCGTGTATTAGTACTTCATAACTGATAAAACTGAACAGATACAAGGCATTATTACTATTTCAATAAAAACAACCAGCACCCCAAAATGAGAAATTATCTTCACAATAATTTCAGTTGCATTGAAAGAATAGTATTAATAAAGTTACTATACAGTCATCTCCTCTAACACAATCATCTAATTTTTTCAGCTGAGGTTCTGATAGGTGAAGGAGTTTATTCAAGGTCTGTAAAGATCCATTGTCAGATCCATGTATATTTAGCAAAAGATTAAATACCTTTCTTGTTTATATCCCCTTTGTTCTGAAATTTTACTTGGTACAGTGTTGATCCTGATGAATTAGGTTACTGCTTTATCTTCTGAAAGATAAGCTTCATTTGAACATACTCCAGACTGTAGAAGAGCGACCTGTAAGGTTTGTTGCGGCACTGTGAGGTGTAAGGCTTGTGCATGAGACACTGCAGAGAGATGCACCACCGCCTGCCATCCCGGGCAGCTCCTTTCAGACCTGATGGCTGACCGCCACACTTCCAGACTCCGCCTAGGTGGCCACGATGGCAGCGATAAAGCTTCCCTCAGAGCGGAAGTCGGATTTCTCGGTCCTCGTGCCTGACCCACGGTCTGGGTGTCCCCGCACTCTGCTGTGCCCGTGCTCATTTCTTAACTGCTTGGCACAAATATCCAAAAATGGCCCTTGAGATTGGAGGTGTTGATGGCTTGTCATGCCCAGCACCTCCCTTGGCTTCTGGTCAGGGGTTAAACTAGGAAGCAAAAGGACTTTGCCAACTTCCTCGCCTCAAGTTAACGTCCAAACGTAAGGTCATAATTCAGCCTAAGTAATTGTGACATTTGCTACGAGAGTGATCATTGCTATTTTACTGTTCTTTGATCAGTTTCTCATAATTAACACCTATTTACATTCTCTGAGAGTGACAGAGATACAGATATGGATACTCAGACAGACAGACACATATCTTCCCATGGCTTGAAATTCTAGAATAAGGTGAAGGGTTATCGGGGTAAAAATGATAAGGCCCAACACACTCTTTAAAGCAACACATTTGATGTTGAAGCCCTACCGCCGGGGACACTGGAGATTATGCAGAAGAGGGGTCTAAAGACCCTCCTCCTGTTCCCAGGCTGTGGGGAGAGGGACCTGCAGGGACCATGACTGGCAGCTGTCCCTGCTGCCCCTCCACATTCACAGCTGCTGCTGGGAGGCAACAGCTCCACCTGTCCTAGGAAGGTGGCCCCTTTGTCTAGAGAGCTCAGCAGTCACATTTACAACATCTAGTTCCCCGTCTGCTCTGAAAGCAGTTCTAACATCCAGGCAGAGCCTGACTGCAGCGCAGCCCAGAGATACGGTCCCTGGGACCTGAGCACTACGGCAGCCTGCAGTTGCTGTAGCAAGAACTGTTTCCTGGCCAGCATGTCAGCGTGTCCGTGTCGTTACAACCAGCACTTTACAGTTCCCTCAGGTAAAATGTAACTGGGCGTGCCGGTCTCCTGCCCCTCCCTGTGTGACCAGTTTTTCTATTACATGACCTTCCCAAGTCCTTCCTGCAGCCTCATAAAACATTGTGAGGCCTGTGAGTTAGGGCAATCTGATACTTGAAGATACTCAAATTGATTTATTAGTAACTTTCATAAAATACCGTTTTCCTCATGGTAGTAAAATGAAGACCTATTTAAGCATATGTGTTTTGTCTTTAACGTCTCTTCATATTACTTCGGTGAAACAGAAATCTCTCAAGAAAATACTGCAGGCATCCACAGTCAAGGAACAGGGAATGTTTGCTAATGGCCAACACAAGCTTGACTTGCAGTATCCCGATTTATTAGAAGGCAAATACTTTTCAACATAGGTGACTAATAAAGCTTGAGTGGTCAGACAGGACAGGTGTCCTTGCCAACTTTTAAGTCGTTTTAGTTGGTTGAGGACAGTTTGAACATTTTCAAACAAGAAAAATGCTGTATGCACTTCTGAGTTTAACAGTCGGATAAATTTTAATGTCCAATATCAGTCATTATGTCATGAAAGAGCTAAGATACACGTTATCTGTGTCCCTGGCAAGCGTGCAAAACGCAAATGAGATCAAGCAGTCTCTGACAGCGCCTCCAATGGTGCCTGGGACGGGCACTGTCCAGATACAAACCAAGCACAAATCGTGGCTTGGAACTTCCCCCCTTTTAGAGGACAAGTTGAAATCTTGTTTGTAAAAATGACAGACACATGTCCAGGGCACCCAGGAAGCATCTTTGAGTCCCTACTGTGTGTGCTGGGCTGGAGATATGAGGAAAAAACCTTACACCTCTGCCCAGCCAGACAGGAGCTCATTACTTTGAGCACTAGTGTGAGCGAGGACCACTCTAGACACCTTGCCCAGACTCATTTAATCCCTGGGCCTTATTGCTGCCTGCATGTAATAGATGAAAACGGGCCACTGGAAGACCCAGTGGCCAGAAGCTCAGGGTCTGGAGCCAGACAAAAAAGTTCAAGTCTCAGCTCTGCATTGAGGAAAACAGCCTATGATTTCAGCTCTCTGAGCTTGTTTTCTGCCTGTCGCCTGGGGTGACCGGAGTGCTGTCTCCTGCGGTCCTTTACCTCAGGCCAGCCAGCTGGGAGCAGGGAGGGAAGCTGGGTCTCTCTGGCTCTGAAGGAGCTTCTTCAGGCCAAGCCCTGCAGCCAGTAAAGGTCAGGATGCATAGGTTCACTGTCTTTTCTTCCTTGGGCTTTTCCTGTTAATGATGTGAAGCCCTTCTGGACCCTGTTCTTTAATTAAAGTCTATTTACTCTCGTAGTGCAGAATATATGGTTTAAAAAATTAAAATTGTAGGATTTCAGGACTGGGTCCACAAAACTTTAAAATACTTGAAGTTCAGCCAAGTTTCTCGATGTCAGGCAGCTTTTGGATCTGGAGGAAAATGCTTCACATGTTCATAACACAAACATGGCTTAAAAAAGGAGACTCACTCATGGTATGGATCCTCTTTAGCCCTAAATGTATCATTTGTGGGAAACCAAAAATGGAACATAGAAGCATAAATGGGCATGTCTTTAAAAAGTCAGTGTCTCCGAGTTACCAAATGGAGAAGGTTCTGTGTAATGATCTTTCTTCAGCAACTTATTTAGAAAGATATTTGGCAGAGATCAAATGGCTTCTTGTCCACGTGCCACAAAACTGGGAGGGGGAGAGGTGCTATTTCTGGACTCCCCTTCACACACGTGCTCTGCTCACCCTCCTACGAGCGGCCTGCTTCACCCGGGAAAGTCCTTCATTGTTTCACCTCTGTAGGGCCTCCTGAGGTTTAAAATACAGCTTTGTATCATTAAATAGAATATTGGCACCATTTACTGCGGTTTCTGTTTTTTTTTAAAAAAGTTCCAATTGCTCTGTCAGAAGACACGGACCCCTTTGAAATGTGCGGATGTTTAGAAAGTCCCCGGGGCAGTCGGATTGCGTGGGAGAGGAGGTGGGAGGGAAGCGGCAGGAACGCCCGGTAGCTCGAGACTAACCAGCCGGCTGCGGAGGGACCTTAGAAACGTTCCTCCAGCTGGCCTCTTATCAGACCTGGAGATGCGGAGAGCTTTACTCTTTAAACGTTTGTAACTCGAAGCATCCAGCCATTTACACCAAAAATCCTCACCGTGATATGGGTTTGTTTGCCCGCTTTGCCTCAGAGCAGAAAAGACAGGAGCATTCTGGAGTCAGATGGAAGCAGCGGCCGCAGAGGCCCGGCCCGCTTCAGTCACGCAGCAGGCGTCTGTCCCAGGCACGGCCGTGCGGCCACACAGGCCTGTCCCCTGCTCCCCGGGAGAGCACGTCCTGTGGGGCCTCTTCCCTGTGTCCACGCAACGTGGCTTCCCCACGGAGGCGGTGACCTGTGGGTACATGTTCTCATGTCCGCGTCCTGTTCTTGAACCAGTCGGACACAATGATAAAGGAGTGATTTGGGCAGAGTTATGAGGGATTAGAAAATAGAAATTATAAAATACTGTGCAATACAGTAAACAGTCCTGTGCTGGGGGTTTTATACACACAGGTGGATTTGCAGCTGCCGTCACCACGCCCCTGGATGTGGCAAAAACAAGAATCATGTTGGCAAAGGTAAGTGGTACAATAACACACACTATTGAAGCTCCCATTTGCCGGCACTGGGGCTGTATGTACACAGTGAATAACAGTGGGAGATACTTCCCTGTGACAGCAGCCGTACACTTCCTGTGGAACCACAAACGAAACTGACGTTGGCAAAACAGTGTCCACCACTGTCACCGTGGCCAGTGTCTGTACAGCATTCCACTTTCAACATCATTTCAACTGCAATCTGTAGGCAGCAGGGCTGGCAGGACCTCTGCCTGGTCACATTGCATTCAGATGACCTGTTTTTCCTGGTGACAGACCTGAGGCTCGGAGTTGACTTCATGCCAGGCAGCAGGTGAGCTAGATGCTTGGCCATAACGGTGAATTAGGACAGTTGTCAGAATTGTTAAAAATTTTTCATTAAAAAGAAAAAATGTTTTTTAAAAAAGTTACAGACTTCAGGGAATGAAGTCTGGGCCAACACATATAACATATCTGGGCGAAAACAATAAAAAATAGCCATGCCCTTGTGGGAATGGGGGACACGTAAGGGCTGGACTCCAGTATGTTAGTGTTTAGGCCGACAAGGCCAGACCCGAGAGCATCAGTGTTTTAAATTGGACGTGGTCCCCTCTATTAAGTGCGGTTATTAGCTCCGCAGGTGCGTTTCACAAGGCACCACCTACACTGACTGTTCCCCGTTCTCTGAGGCCTGACGCAGCCTCCAGAGGTCCTCCTGCCCGGGGGCTGCACGTGAGTTGCCCGGGGGAGCCCTGCCCCGTGTGGTGAGGAGACACCCGCGCAGCAGCAGGGGCGTCAGCGCTGCTGGTCCAGCGCAGTCCAGGGGTCCTGGCTCCCCCGAAACTCCCCATCTGTTTGAACCTGCCCCAGGTGAGGGCAGTAGGGAGCCGTGCATCTGAGAGTATGTGTAGGTTGGGGACTTTCATACGGTAATGGCTCTCTCTGTCCTCTTTGCAGGCCGGTTCCAGCACCGCCAGTGGGAATGTCCTGTCTGCCCTGCACGGGGTCTGGCGGACACGGGGGCTGCCAGGGTAAGGACAAGGAGGAGCCTCCGCCACCTTCCTCTCCACCGCTGCCCTCCTTTAGCCGGGGCGGGACACACACTTTTCCTGTCTTCTGCTTATGCCCTGGTTGGGGTCTGTTTATATTGGGTAGAACATTGCATTGGGTTTTGCTTATGTGAAAGAATATTGTGCCATCGCAGTGATGTCGTGTTCCAGCCAGGTCACTCCCAGCCTCACCCATCTGGGCGTGAGGTGCTCGCTCTGGGCTGCAGCACTGGGAGGGTGGGCTTCCAGTTCTGTAAGGCGGGAGCCAAGGGACTGAGGGTGGCCCTGTCAGAAGAAGCATTTGTGGTCCGGGTACTTTTAACTATTACTAGCAACAGGTTACTGTGAACATGCGAAATGCCTGACAACGCACTGTCAGCAGCTGAGTGCCTCGGACCTTTAGCATCAGATCCTCAGGAGCTCTCTTCTGTTATTTCAGCATTGCTCATACAACATAAACCTATAAAGCTGTCTGAATGCTGGGATCTGTACAGATACTCGAAATTACGATTTTCTCTTTGGAATCCTCTATCAGGGATTTTCTTGAGACAGCAAAGCAGTGGCCACCTTTAGAGGGGGGTCAAGGCTGAGCCCAGTGACAGGGAGGCTAGCGTGGATGGACGCAGAGGGGGGTGGTGCTGTGTTGTTCACTGATTTGATTGTGGTTTTGTGAGCACTCAGCAGGTTTGTGTTTCAGCCAGTGGATAGTCTGGGGACTATTTAGCCTGCTGGTCAGGTCCCAGGTAAGACAATGGCAGGAGGATAGTCCCATCCTCTTCAGAATTCCAGCTGGCAGTTTGGAAAGCAGGTGGCAGTGGATGGTTGTGTGGAAAGCAGCAGCTGATAGATAGATGCCACTTGTCTGAAGGACGTCAGGATTTTGAGACCACTGGGTTTATCAGAAAGGAACTCTGGAGCAGGGGAAGGGCAGAGTGGTGGCCACTGTGGCCAGTGCACTGGGAGGAAGTGGGGCCTGGTTGCTCAGCTGAGGCACATTGATTTGCACGCCAATTCCTCCCCGAACAAAGACAGTGTGAGGGGAAGGTGAGGTCTAGAGCAGCTTACTAGTCGCAGGTAAAACATTCCCACTGTCCCAGTTTTGAGCTTACACAGAGGCGAGCACTCAGTAGCTTTTTAGGTGATGGAGTCAAGCTGCCGAATTTCACTCATTCATTTCAGTGTATTTCACACTAGATTCTGTGGCAAGTCTTGGTCAAACCTCTGCTCTTGACCTTAGCTCTGTGGATTTGGTGGTAAGCTGCAGCCCACCTGCCTTCTCGAGAAAGGGGCGATATGTAGGTGACACCTGACTTGATTGGCAAAACCGCGGCCGCTCAGAGCTTGTGGAGAAGGGATTCCCCTGAGTAGGTGATTGACACTGAATTTTCCTTGGCCTGGTGTGATGTGCACCTGATGCTACCACGTAACCAGGTAGTGTGGGTCCAGGCAGAGGGCGGTGTCTGATGCGCGAAGGGCCTGTCTCTGTCCCCACAGTTGGCCTGGAAAGCAGCTCGGAGTTTTGCTTATCTCCTAAGTCTTGGGCTCTTGTTAGTGTAGACATACTTCGGCGAGGCGGGTTCCGGTCCAGACCACTGTGGTCAAGCGAGTATCACAATAAGGCCACAATATATTTGCTGGTGGAGGGTCTTGCCTTCAATTTGTAAAAAATGCAACATCTGTGAAGTGCAATAAAACAAAAGGTAGTAAAGCAAGGTCTGCTGTGTGCCCAGCATGGTCCTTCGCAGCATATTGCAGGCAGCCAAGCTTGTCACTTAAAGAATGACAGTTTTCATTAGCTTCCTGTTAGTGTGATAAAAGACAACAAATAATTTGTCTAAAGAATTGTAACCAAAAGCAGGCAAAAGCAGCAAAAACCCCTACAAATACGTGCAGCTGTTCTGATGAGGGTTGTAGACATTCTCAGCCCTGAAGGTGTCTCGGTTGCTTCCTCTGTCTGGTTTCCACACACACAGCGGCCGCTGGCTCCTCCCGCCACCCTGCATGCACCTGCCAGTGTCACCAGGCCCTCAGGCTGCCCAGCCGAGTCAGGGTCCACGTCACGGTGGGGCGGTGCTGACATCTCATGGAGTAAAGGGTGATAGTTTGTTCTCTTGGGTTGGTTCATTCCAAGTCCTGGCTCACATTTGGTGTCTCCAAAATAAGACTACTGCACTGCATGCTCATCTGGCCCAGTAGCTGGAAAGCCACTGGGAAGCTGCTCACCCCACAGTGCTCCTTCCTGCTTTTCTTCTGTCCATCAGCTGGCTTGTCGGCCTCGGTTTGCTGTCTGTGCAGTAGCTGCCATGCCGTGGGTGCCCGTGCGCCACTCTGCTGCACATCCCAGTCTGCTATCTCCTTCGGCTGTGCTCACTCCAGACAGCCCTGCTCTGTCCAAGGCTCTGCCTCCGAGTTTGGTTGGGGCACTCACTGTACAAATTACTCTTTTTAAAGCTGTAATTATGTTAAACAATTCGACTGTCATCTGGTGAAACCATAAACTGCTTCCATCTGCCTCTCGCCAGGAGCAGCTGAGCTCATTAGCAGCAAAAGCTGAACCCAAACACTGGCTTTAGAGTGAAGTCAGTTTGGAGGGAGCAGGGGGAGACTTTGTGGCCATCACGATGGTCTCCCAGCCCCATCTGGGCCCTCTGGAGGGCAGGGCAGGGAGGTGACTGCTGCTCAGGCCAGGACACCATGGCCTCAAGGTGGTAATTTATGAGTTTGTCCTCACTGACCACCTCATACAAAAACAATCTGCACGATGCTGAGATGAACTTTTTTTCCTACAAGTGTATTTTGATCTTCTATATAATTTCCATGGCTATTTCTACACAAGAAAAAGGAGTTCTGATTTTATCAGTAGTATTTTAATTAATGATTTAAATCCTTAGCTAATTAAAATAAGATGCCCCTAACACTACCCGAAAATGCACTTTCTGTGCAGAGAAAGCAGCCTGGCGGTGCGGCCTGGGCAGGAGGCTCCTTCCCTGTGCTCGCTCCATGAGCCACCTTAACGTATCGGGGGCGTCCCCATGTATGGACAGATGAACTGCTGTTGGCATAACCTAACCATTTCCAGTTTCCTTCCCTAGACCTGACCTTTTCACTAGTGAATCCACTTCCACTGATTATTAATTTTGTAAGCAGAAAAACAAAATTATAAACTCTTGGTTTAAAAAAGTTCATTTATTACAGAAATACAGGCAGGGACTGTCTCCTGTAATCCTACCCTGCAGGGACAGTCCACAGCCCCTTCCTGCCACGTTTGTCTCACACACAGCTGCATCACACATGCTGCTCCAGGCTGGACTGTTAGGACCCGCTGTGGCACTGTGCGTTGGTACGTCCCGCCTGCCGCCGCCTCAGCAGTTTCCCCCTTGTGTGGATCCTGTACCAGAATGTGTGTAACCAGAGGGGTTCTTTGCAGTTTTTTATCAGCAATGCCATGACGAACATCTTGAACAATAAGCGCATGGCTGTGGGAAGGTTTTAAAGAATGACTCCCCAATATACATCCCCAGTAACACTTTGTATTTCCTTCATTATTCTAAAGTTGCGAATTTGACTCCTGAGGTGCTTGGGGACTGAACCTGCTCCTGCCTTCCCTGCCAGCCATGGGAGGCGGGAGAAATGGGATCCATGGAGATCCGTCTCCTGCTGTGCATCATGTTTGTGGGCCTCTAAGGACAGAATGTGCCTGAGTCACTGGGAGGAGCAGCAGACTTGTCCAAAAGTCTCCTCGAACACCAGAGACCACCAGGGGCCTCCAGGGTGGGCTGTGCCCTTTGACTCTTTTATAAAAAAGTCAATTCCATCATCTGTAAAGACAAAGGGTCTGGAAGTTTAAGCAGGACTATTGTGGGGACAGAGTTACTGTTCGACTAATTATTTGACTTAATTGTGAGCGCACAAGTAAGCTGTTTGGTATGTAGCCACTTTCGCCAACAAACAGCTGGGCTCAGACTTCAACAAGTCTGCTTGGGAATGTAATTTAGTGTGATTCTGAAAGGAAAAAACACATGTTAAGTACTGTGTGGGGTTTAATGAGCATGGTGTGTTGAGTTGAGCAAGCTGTGGGTGTTGGAATTTAACCTTTTTAAACACCTTTTTTAAACACAAAATTTTTAAAATCTCCTTTGCTTCCCCCCGCCCCAGATTATTTGCAGGTGTCTTCCCTCGAATGGCAGCGATCAGTCTGGGAGGTTTCATCTTTCTTGGTGCTTATGACCAAACGCGCAGCCTGCTGATGGAGCTTGGCACTGAGCGCCCATGAATCACACCCACATGCACTTCTTCCAGGGGGCTGCTGTGAGCTCTCCCTCCCGGCGAGCAGCTGCCTGGCCTTCAGACAACAAAACACGGCGCTGGAGTTCAGTTCGCAGAACACGGCCTGGAGAGCACGTCTTCCAGGCTACAGGCCGCTGGAATGAGGTCACCTGCGCATTTGCCCGAAAGTTAAGAAAACGCCCACAGCAGTAATTGAACGATTTTCTCAGAACCCCTTAATAAATGAGTGGTGATGCTGAGTCCAGGCCCTCAGAGCTTTCACTTGATTGTATCTGACCTTTAGTTTCCTGCCACCTGGTAGCAGATTCGATGGCAGGCAGAGACGGGCACACTTTCGGGAGAAGGGCTCGACTGGGAACGGAGGAGACGGGCAGTTGTGCATGTGAGGTAGTTACCAGTGTGTCCACTTACGGCTCTGTTGAAAAACAATGGCCTACAGGTGCGTATGAGCCGGGTGACCAGGCTGTTCTCGATGACCCTCGGACTGAGCCTATGGAAACACATTTGAACCTGACAGAGGAGTGTCCAGCGGCCATGTGGCGTATGAAAGCCAGCAAGCAGCTGCGGCCAGGAACCAGGTGGGCCCCGTGGGCTTGAGGGTGGAGGGCGTGCTGGGGCCTCAGGGCAGCAGGGCCGCATTCGGGGCTTCTCCACTTCAGAGCGGAGGGACAGGCTTCGCCTGGAGGTTTAAGCTCAGCACCCAAAGGGAAGGTCACCATTCAGAGCTTGACTGACAAGCTCTAGGTGCTGTGAAGAGTCAATCGCGGGAGCCTGGTGCTGTCACGCCTCCCCCAGAGACGGTCCTGCTTGGCCTAACCACGCACTGGTTCTTTTTCCTCTCAAAAAAGAGAGGGTAGGACGACTGCACTTGTCAGGGCCGCTCTGGAATTAGGCAGGTGAAGCCCTGCTGGTTCCAGTGCACACGTCACATTTGTGGAAGGATGACCGAGCCACACATCCATTCATTCACAAGTGAACCTTTATTAGACACATCACTGCCGCTTGTTAGACACTCAATATCTTACATGTTTTCAACGTACATTGTACCAAAACTTCTATAAATAAATAACTGTACATGAAAGTAATACTTCCTCTCACACTGCCTCTCCACAGCAGCAGGTTCACATGTTGTGGACGTAACATTGGTCAGTTAACTATTGAGAACAAAACTACATGTGCTCACCTTTGAAACAGTGATGACATCGGACAGTAAAATTTAACATGGTAACCACTCTGTCAATACCTACCTTCAGCTTTTTGGCTAAAGGACCTTGCTTTCCAAGCTTTTAAGGACCTTGTTAGTTTCAATGCAGTTTTTCCTGAAACACCCATTGGCACTCACAAGATGGTTAGTTACAGGTCTCAAAAGTGCAAATATACCAGAACCCAAGTCAAGGGCCGAAGCTCGCCATTCGTCTGTCTGTGCGAGGGAAGGACGCGGACGGGCCTGCTCCGGGTCCTCAGTCGAGATGAGCCAGCCCTGGAAATAAGGACTCCATCCTTCCTCCCCCAACACCAAGGTAACGTTAATTATATTGGCAGAACTAAAGCATCACTATTGAAAAATCCACAGGTACCAACAGCAGCAACCTCTATCTTATTAGAAAGCCTCAAGTGACAATCAGGTAACACTGACAAGACCACATTTGCTTTTACCATAGAAGGAAGGCAGGCTTAATTATCCAGACCAAATGCTGTGGTGATTACAACCCCCACCACGCTCGTTAAGAACTCGAACCTATGAGCAAAAGCCACTCAGTGCAGTGTACCGTCCCCAGGGCGGTCTGGGCCCGGGAGGTCTGTGCGGCCGCACCCGCACGCGAGCAAGTCTGCCTGGAAAGCGTCAGGTCTGCCCCACGATGTGCGATCGAGTCTGAGGACTTCCGCCTTCCGCCCACACAACCCTGGGAGCAAATGTGGTTTTCAGCGTCTGTAAATTCCACCCATGCATTAAGGCACCAGAACTATCCCCACTCCAAAGTTAAACAGCAACCTGATATGAAAAATATTGTCAAAACTGTAAGATTTTCTGTTAACCATGCAATAAAGATTAAAATATCCTCTGTAAAAGATATATAATATATATGAAATCTCTGAAAACTCTTATGTACAGTGGTATCCAATACTTTTCTGCCTTTTATACACAATAGCCTCTTGCAATCTGTGCTTCACTGCAAGTCCTTTAAACAACTGGCACTCCACATGGAAGTTAGAACTGTACAGGTCCGCGACGCTTGAGCCACGCTTCCTCCTGGAGCCCCCACCTCCTCCCTGCAGAGGCTGGCACAAAGCCGAGGTAGACTGCGCCTAGGTCTGTGGTGCAAACAGCAGTGGCCCGCTCCGTTTCCCAGGCAGCTGTCCCATCAGTGGTGTGGACTCAGGCCCAGAGTCGCATGCTCTGGGGAGGTGCCCATTGGGAAGGAGCAAGTGCTGGCCTTCACTGGGAGCGTCGGGAAAGGCCAAGGGGGCTTGTGTGAGCTCAGACCTGCCTGGAGTTAACGCAGAGGGCAGTATGTCTATGGCGTCTGCCTCACACAGCCTTGCTAATGTCCACGGAGAGGCCCCTGTGAGAGAGGAGAGGGCACGTCAGACCCTCTAGCCTGGCTGTTTCCGTGCTGCCCCGAGCCGTGGGTGACTCCTGGGAACACAGTAAAAATTTACCTTTCCCGTCTGGAGGTGCCCCTGGCTTTTCCTTCAAGGATGTCGGCATTCTATCGTGGTTACTGGGGTAGAGGGACTCCCTGCAGTCGGTGCAGGACCCATCGCCAGTCCCGCTGTTCAGCTGTGGAGAATGTTCGTGGTCACTCCGGCCGGGCTCCTGGCTGCTCAGTGTATCTGGCTGTGTGCTGTCCCTGGACACAGGCTGAGGACAGAAGGCCTGTTCCTCGGAGTAACTGTTCACATCAGTGTTGCTGTCACTACATACACCCGGGCCACTGTGCTCTGCAAAACAGCGGAGATCATCAGAACCATGGCCTGAGGCCTCCATCTCGAGGCTGCTGCACTCCTCTGTGAGGCCGGGGCCCCACTCAGACCAAGTGCAAACCCCCCTCCCCCCCCGTATTTCACATAAAAGGGGCTGGGCAACCGCCAGCCATGTAGAATGGGGTCTCCCATGTTGATACATTTCAGATTAATTCTGTCAGACAACTCTGATCACAGGAAGAAATCATCGCACTTTAATGCGTGTCAGGAGTGTTCTGAACAATGAGAAATGGAGCCTCCAAAGAGCCCTGGTGAAAAGGTCCTTTTGTTTGGACCTTGCCCTTTATTTAAGTTGCTTATAAATCTGGAAAGTTCATGCCCAGGCTCCACACCATAGGTTTACTCGAGACATCCTACTTGAACCCAGAGAGCCGGCCCCACACAGCGTCCTATTTAGACAAATACCCAATTTTGAGACAGTCTTAGAAAAACAGTGTCTCCCCTTTTCATCAGTGAGGTCATACCCGTCTTCTGTGCGCCAGGTGAGCTGTCAACTTTCTCCTTCACTCTCCACGGCTCCTGACTGTGTCCAACGCAGAGCCTGGGCTGCCTGCAGGTGACGCTGCGAGCATCCGCCTCGGGGAAGAGGCCCGCATCTCTTGGACAAACACCTGCAACAGAGCCCCACACTGTCGGAAGCACTGGGCTTAGCGCTTCACACAAAGCCTGATGGGAGGGATGGGCAAACGTCCTGTGGGGTGGTGGCTCCCAGGCCCGTTTTCACAGCCACGAGCCTGCGTCCCGTAAGGACAAACCTGCTGAGCACATGCTGACCCCCCCTGGAGCAGCGCACACCCTTGAGAGCTACTGAGTATGAGAGGAGCTGAGACTCTTAGTAAGAGACGCTAAGCCCAACATAGAGACTTCCTGGGTGGTGGGGTTTTAAACTTTGCAGAACTTGCACAGGGAGGTCCCGAAAGCCAACTGGCTTCAGTTTCCGGGTCAGACGTGCTCAGTATGACGCCATGCGCCTGCCGAAGCAAGGGGCTGGAGGCCGCTCCCACTCGGGAACAGTCACGTCAGACTCAGGCCTTACCATTGCTCTCGACGTGCCCATTGGCCTGATGACCACCCTCAGTCCTGAGCACAGTTTCCTGTCGGTCAGAAAGGGTCCCCTGAGAAGAGAGGTAGCTAGGAACATCTGGCGGCACAACGGTCTCATCTGCAAGGAGACAGGACAGTCATCCACAGGGTCCCAGCCCCTTGGTTTTGACAAGGATACAGACAAAGGACCCCCAATGGCAGCTGCCAAGGCCTAACAGGACTGTGTGGAGTCCTGCATGCAAGAGGCCCTCCCAGGGGCACCTCACACCCAGGGGTAAACGGTGGCAGTCAGATGCCCGAGTGCACCAGACGGACAGCAGTGACGGGGAGGGAGAAAGAGCTGACACCACAACACAGGTCGCTGCAGAACCCCCCACGTGGCGGCAAAGCCCGTGCCGAGGACGCCTCTGAATTACTAGAGGTAGAAACTGCGGCGCTCAGTGTCCTTGCGTCTAACAGTGTTCCCTCTCAATGTTAAACTCCTGGAAGTTAAAATAGTGTCTGTGACACTACAGCTCGGCCGTCCAGAATGGCTCCACATTCCCAACGGTCTAGAGTTTTAAATACACTGAAATCCCTGAACGAGCCTCTGGACCCGGCTCTGCCCAGGCGTCACTGCGCTCCTCCCCGGCACGCAGCCTCGGCCACAGTGGCCGACCTGTGTTGGTGACGCTGTACTCCTCGCTCTTCCTCCTGGTGTGGTAGATGATGCACACCCAGACCAAGGACGTCAGGACGACGCTGCACACCACGGCGATGGTGAAGATGCCCACGGTGGTCCCATCCCGCCTGCAGCCGGGGCTCGGCAGCACGCTCAGCTGGCTGTGCGCCCGCTCTGTGCCCAGGGCGTTGGACATCTCGCAGGTGTAGCGGCCCGAATCCTCGGCCACCACGTTCTGCAACACGAGCAGCTGGTTGCCGGGGGTGAAGTGGTGGCGCTCGGTGAGGCTCAGAGGGCGGTCTCCCTTGAACCAGGTGATGCGGGGCGCGGGGCTCCCGGCCGCCTTGCACTGGAGAGCCACCGTTTCCCCCACAGACACCACCCGGTCTTCCAGGGGCACTGCCAGGGACGGGGTTTCTGTAGGCAGAGGAGACCTCACGGTTACTCTGTGGGCCTCAAGGGCTTCCGGACAAAGACAATCCAACAATCGGCAAAATGCTGAGACCTTTCACCACACGGCGAGCCTCTCGGGGCCCCTCTACCACCAGACAGTCCCAGGCTGGTGTCTCCAGCGAGGAGAGTGAGCTACGTCTGCTGCTCCCCAGCTGTCCTGTGACGGGTCTGCGTCCCGATCTACCTCTCCGTCAGAGGCAGTTCTCATCTAGAGTGTTTTATACCTAAGCCCTATTTATTTTAAGAGATGGAACCACTTACTAAAAAAAAAAAAAAATCAAAAAAATCTTAGAAAATGTGAAAATAGAAACAGCCCCACCACACTGCCCCCATCAGGCTGCACAGAACATCTTAGGAACCGGGACTCTCGGTGCCCGTGATATCTAAGAAAACCTCTCTCACGCACACTCACGCACACGTGTACACTCAGTGCAGCAAGAGTCGAACCTAAGACAGTGAGGGTGGCGTTAGCCGAAACGGAGCCAGCCGAGTTCTGGGCGGTGCAGCTGTAAACGCCCATGTCGTCCAGCTTCACGTCGGTGATGAAAAAGACGTCGTCGTCGGGCATGACGTGCATGCGCCGCTCGCGCGCAGCAGGGAAGTCGGTGCCTCCGTCCTTCTGCCAGGCTATCTGGGGGTTGGGGTGGCCGGTGGCAGCGCACTCGAGGCGGGCCATGGTGCCAGTCCGGATGGCAATGTCGTGGGGCATTTTGGTGAATGATGGCAACACTGTAAAACAATCAGCCAGGTCACAGGAAAGCTAGACGCAAAGGCCAGGAATCCCTCTGGCAAACAGCCCTCCCGTGTCCGGGCGTCAGCTCACAACCTCACCACCCTGCGTGCGTCGGGCCCCAAGGCCGCCCAGTTGCTCGTAGCCACGGTGGAGCATTTCCATCGGTCTCTCTCGTACCTCCCAGGCTGACAACCCCCCCTCAAACACAGGCTTTCAATGAAACATTCCTCTACTGTCCCTCACACAGTCGTCAGTCCGTCCTGGGACACCCCCTAAATGCCAGGGCCTGGTGCCTGCCCACCTTAAGTACCAGCAGGAGCGCCTGGGAAACCAAACATCTGCTCCAGCAGGAGACAGTCACAGAGGGAGGCTGAGGTGCCCGCACCCTGGAGAGTGGAGAGCTCTCCCCCTGGAGGGGTGTGTCCCGTGCCCACAAAGCTGAAAGCACAGAGCCCACGTACTGACCCAGATATTCCACACACTGGGAAGCATCCGGCCACATGTTCCCATCAAGGTTACTTGTGTGGCGAGTCTAACAGCTCACCGAGTTTGAGAAACAGTGAGGATTCCCTCAGAAAAACTAAGAGAACCAGCCAAAGTGCAGTGAAGGGTATGTTTTCTGTGGTCGGTAGGGCCTAAGAACACAGTGGTTCCAGCATTTTTTAATTAGAGGTTTAATAATCAGGAAAATCTCGTTAGGTTATGGGGGTGGGGTGGCCAACTCCTCCCTCTGCCCTAAACTCACAACAAACAGTCCTGAGGAAGCAGCTGTGACAGGCTCTGAGCTGTGTAGAGTAAGAATCCTCGTGGTGGCTGGCACACACCAGCCGGGTGTCCACAGCCCCTGGGCGGCAGGCCCGCCGCTGCCCCCCGCCCCCCGCCTCTGCTCTGAGGTCGCGCCCTCTCTCGGAGGGTCAGGGGATCTGGGATCTGGGTACCAGACACCTTGTTTATGGAGGATAATAAATGGGTAAAAATACAAGGCTTGGGCCCACGATTTCACTTAATGTAGTAACTGGATAAAAGTTATTTTATCCCCAAAACAAAGATTCCACTGCGAATAACCCTTCAATCTTCAAACTTGCTCTGGGGCCAGCCCAGGCAGGGTGGTGTGATACAGGGCTGCCCCGGGATGCACGCGGCTGCCGCCTGTCATTTCCCGTGGGTAACTGAGAGAATGGTGGCACGTGGGCTCGTAGGAGCCGAGCACCAGGAGAGCAAGACGGCGCGTCCATACCGTTCACAGTGAGCCTGGCCTTGTGCGAGTAGGTGGAGCCGAAGTGGTTGGTGATGACACACTGATAGCGGCCCTCGTGCCCGAAAGTGACACGGCGGAGGTGCAGGATGGTGGTGTACTCCATCACCTCCCCATCCTGCGCCCGGACGTGGGCAAAGTTCTCCATGTCGGCGTTGGCCAGGACCTCACTGTCCTTCTTCCAGGCAAAGGTCATGGGGGAGCTGCTGCTGCTGGCTGCCGAGCACATGAACCGGATGTCCTTGCCCACCACAGCCATGGTGGTCTCTGGCTGCGTGATAATCTGCGGCTTTGGTAAGTCCTCTGGGGAGAAAAGAGCCAACTGTCAGTCACCCAGGCACTGAGGACGCAGAGGAGCCAGGCGCTGTTCCCCATGACAGGAAACTGAGCCAACACAGCCATCCTCGCTCCAGCGACCACCAAAAGGGACTCACCCTTGAAAGCTGGCCTTGTCCAGTTTTAAATCCACAAGCAGTGACCACCTCCAAGATCACACATGCTTTGATTACAAGTGAACCCACCAGTGCCCAATTAGTAGAGCAATCAGCAGGCTCCATACACCTACAATCAGCTCTACTCGCTTATTTTAACAGAAAACACACTGAACAGGGTCAGGACCTGCCCATCATGACTGCACAGACCTAATCCACAAACTGACTCAAGCACTTCAGAACTCAGAGTACGAACGGGTGAAAATCTTCACCTCTGCCAAAGCAAAGAGAACACTAGCAAAATGGTGATAGCCAGCTTCTTCAGAATTCTGGAAAATAACCACAGGCTACATATAACCTGAGTGTTGATCAAGAAAATGCCTGAATCTCCAGAAGAAAGGTGAGCTTTGTGGCATTTTACCCCAGTCCCACCCCCTCTCCCAGCTCTGTGGTATCCCTGAAACCCTGCAGCCTAGCAATCACTGAAGGGGCAGAAGGGGTGCGGAGATTCCCCCAAAGCCCCATCCTCAGGGTTTGTCTTTATCTGACCTGATGCAGTTTGCTCAATGCGGGAAGCCCCACCCTATGGCATTTGATGGAACAATCAGCAGCCAAGGCTGAGGCAGTGATATCAGTTGGGGCTAACAAGAGGCTGGCTAAAAAACTAAAATGGAAAATCAGGTGATTGAAATGTTGAAAGTGGGCTCTGAAAGGTCTGACATATTCCTGAGGTCCTAGAAAGCCAAGGCATGTGCAGGCCGTGCACACCCAGCCAGGACCCGAGAGGGTGCCCACTCCTCACCGGTAACTGGCCCTGACGGTCAGTGCAAACAGGAAGTGATGCCGGGCAAAGGACCAGAGGCTGAGTAGATGACTGACTGACGGGCTCTGTCCACTCATTAGCAAACTACAGAGAGAGACTATAGTGGCTGTGGCTGCAGAGAACAGACTATATAACATTTGTCCAGGAAAGTCACTAAACAAATTGTAATTAACAGAACAATGATAAACCCTGGGGGAAGACAGAGGTACACTATGATTTCTAGTTGCCATATTATTTTAAATGCTCAGTTTTCAACAAATAACCACAAAACACACAAAGAAACAGGAAAAAATGCAGTCAATAGACAAATGTCCTCAAGGAAGCCCAGGTCTTCGATTTGCTAAGGAAACACTAAATTGGCTTTATAAATATGTTCAAAGAACTAAAGGAAACCAGGTCTAAGAAAAGTAAGGAAAAGTATGCAAATACTTCCCACCAAATAAAGAATACCAATAAAGAGATATAAGCTGGAAAAATGAACCAAATACAAGTTTTAGAGTTTAAAAGTACAATAACTGAAATGAAAAACTCATTAGAAGGGCTCAACAGCCAAGCTAAGTTGGCAAAAAAGTCAGTAAACTTGAAACAGGCCTCCTGAGATAATCCAGTCTGAGAAACGCAACAAGAGAAGAATGAAGAGAAGTGAAGAGCCACAGAGCTGGGGGACAGCATTAAGCAAACACCATGCAGATGATGGGAGTCTGAGGAGAAGAAAGAAAAGGAGCGGAGTATTTGAAGAAACAATGGCCCCAAACTTTCCACATTTAGTAAACAACATGCACCTACACATCCAAGAAGTTCAACAAACTCCAAATAAAATAAATTCAGAGATCCACACCCAGGCACATCATAGTCAAGCTGTAAAAAGACAAAGAACCTTGAAAGCAGCAAGAGAACAGCAACTTATCACATACACACGATCGTCAGTAACAGTAGCAGCTAATCTGTCACCAGAAATCATGGAAGTCAGAGGAGCAGTGAAGGAAAGAGAACACCGGATAATCCTATAGCTGGCAAAACCATCCTTTCAAAAATGCAGGCGAAATGAAAACGTTCTCAGGTTTGAAAACAAAAACAAAAAACCCAAGACAATTCATTGCTACCAGACCTGCTTTACAAGAAATACAAAAGGATATCATTCAGGCTGAAAGGAGAAGACTCAAAATACTAAAATCTGGAATGAAAGAAGGGACATGACTACCAACTTCACAGCAATAAAAAGAATACAGGGGACTCCTATGAATAACTGCCCACAAATCAGACAACCGGTTTGAAATGCACAAATTCCACAAAAGACGCAAACTACCAAAACTGACTCAGGAAGAAATATATAATTGGAATAGTTCTAACAAGTAAACAGACTGAATTAATAATTTTAAAACTTCCCACAAAGGAAAGTTCAGACCTAAAAGGGTACTACTGGTGAACTCTACCTTTATAAACTCTTCAAAGAAAAACTGATGAGAGAACACTTCCCAACTCCATTCTATGAGGCAGATATTTTACCTGTTAACAAACCAGACAAAAACATCACCAAAAAAGAAAACTATAGACCTTTACAAGGGAAAATTCAAAAAATCCTCGACGAATATACTAGCAAAACAAATCCCACAACATATAAAAAGAACAATACAGCATGAACAAGCTGGATTTATCCCAGGAATACAAGGTTGGTTTAGCATCCACAAATCAATGTATTACATCATATCAATAAAATAAAGGGAAAACCCACCTGATTACAGGTGCCAAAAAAAAAAAAAAGCATCTGACAAAATCCAACACCCTCTTATGATAAAAGCCCTGAACAAATTAGAAAAGAAGGGGAATTCCACAACTTGGTAAAGGTCATCTACGAAAAAATCCACAGCTAACATCAGACTTAACGGTGAAAGACTGAATGTTTTCCCCCTAAGATCAGAAAAAAAGAGAGGGATGTCTACCCTCACCACTTCTATTCAGTAATGAACTGGAGGCTCGAGCCTGGGCAATTAGGCAAGAAAAATAAGTAGAAGACATCTGGATTGGAAAGGAAGAAGTAAAACTATCTTTTTGCAAATGACAAGATGATCACATATAAAGAAAAGCCTAAGGAATTTACTGAAAAACTATTAGAACTAATAAATGATTTCAACACAGTTGCAGGATACAAGATCAACATATAAAACTCAACTGCATTTCCGTGCACTAGCAATGAAACTTTAAAAATGAAATTAAGAATGCCATTTAAAACAGCTCCAAAAAGAATTTTTAAAATGTGTACAATGAAAACCACAAAACATCACTGAAGGAAATTACAGAAGAGCTAGAAAAAAAGAAAAAGACATCCCATTTTCATGGATTGGGAAGACAATATTAATACAGCAATACTCCCTAAATTAATGTACAGGTTCAATGTAATCCCTATTCCAAAATTCCAATTGTGTTGATTGCAGAGACTGACAAGCTGATATAAAACTTTATAGGGAAATGCAAGGGAACCACAAGAGTCAAAACATTCTTCAAAAAGAACAAAATTGGAGGCCTGTGTAGCAGCTAAAATCATAAAACTGTTAGAAGAAAGGTTTAAATCTTTGTGACCTTGTTTTAAGCAATAGTTTCTTAGATATGACATCAAAAGTAGAAATGACAAAAGAAAAAAAAGAGAAACTGGACTTCTTCAAAATCTAAAACTTTTGTGCCTCAACCATCAAAAAATGAAAAATAATGCACAGCCCAACCAGTGTGGCTCAGTGGTGGAACATCAACCTATGATCCGGGTTTTGGGCTTGATCCCCAGTAGGGGGCGTGTAGGAGGCAGCCAATCAATGACTCTCATCATTGATGTTTCTCTCCCTTCCTCCCTCCCTCTCCCTTCCTCTCACTGAAATCAATATATATTTTTTAAATGCACAGATTGGGATAAAATATTGGCAAATCGTATATCTGATGAGTGTCTAGAATCTCTAATATATGAAGAACTTTACAACTCAATAAAAAGACAAATGGCCCAATTAAAACATGAGCAAAGAATCCGAACAGCCACTATTCCAAAGCTGATTATATATATACATGTGTCCAATAAGCATATGAAAACATGATCAACATCATTAGGGAAATGCAAATCAAAACCACAATAAGCCCTGGCCAGTGTGGCTCAGTTGGTTGGAGTGTTGACTTGTATACCAAAAGGTGGTGGGTTCAACTCCCAGGCAGGGCACATACTCAGGTTGTGGGCATGATCCCCTGGTCTCAGTGTGTGCGGGAGGCAACTGATGTTTCCCTCACACATCTATGTTTCTCTCCCCCACTTCCTCTCTCTAAAATCAATGAAAAACATACTCTCAACTGAGAATTTTTTTAAAAATAGTGCCAAAAAAACCCCACAAAAAAATAAAACACACAATGAGGATATACTTCATATCAACTAGTGTAGATTCAACAAAAAAGCAACAAATGTTGACAAGGATGGGAGAAATCAAAATCCTCATACATTGTTGGTGGCTGTGTAAAATGATACAGCCACTTTGGAAAACAGTTGGCAGTTCCTCAGATAGTTAAACATAGAGTTACCATATGACCCAGTAATTCAACTCCTAGTACCCAAGAGAATTCACACAAACCTTGGACACAAACATTCACAGCAGCGTTACTGAGAATACCAAAAAGAGTAACCTAAATTTAATCCATTATTGACAATGGATAAATAAAATGCATATCCATACAATGAAGTATTATTTAGCGAATAAAGTACTGATACATGCTAAAAAATTATGCTAAATGAAAAAAAACAGTCACAAAAGACCACATATTGTAGGACTCATAGAGACACAAAGCAGAGAAGTGGCCGTGGGGCCTGGGGCCAGTGTAGCACAGGGAGTGATGCCAGTGGGGGTGGGGTTTGTTTTTGGGGTGACAAAAATCTTTTAAAATTAGATAGTAGTGAGGTTTACACAACTTTTCAATGTTCTAAAAACCACTAAATTGTACACTTTAAGGGGTGACTTTTATGGTATATAAGTTATATTTCTTTTAAAAAGCAGCTTTATTGAAATAGAATTCACCTGTTTAAAGTATACAATTCCATAGTTTTTAGTATACTCACAAATGTGCCACTGTCATCACAGTCCATTTTTAAAAAATTTTCACCTCAAAAAGAACCCCTTACCTGTTGGCTACCATCCCTTCTCCCGTCATCCCTCCCAGCCCTAAGCAACCCCTCATCTGCTTTCTAGCTCTGTAGGTTTCCCTGGTTCATGTGACTGCAATCCTGCAATATGTGGTCTTCTGTGAGGCTTACCTGTTGCATGACTGACTCCCTCTTTTATGGCCTAATGACACTCCACCGTATGGCTGCACACATTTGTGGGCACTGGGTTACTTCCATAAGTAATGTTGCTATGAACATTCGTGCACAGGTTTTTAAGTGGACATATATTTTCAGTTCTTTTGAGTAGATACCTAAGAGTAGAATTGCTGTTTGTTTGTGAAACTAACAGACTGTTTTCCAAAGCGGCTGCACTGTTTTACATCCACCTCAGTGCAGGAGGGTCAGACTGCCACCATCTTCATGGCACTCAGTATCTGAACTTTGAGTCTAGCTATCCATGGTGTGAAGTGCTTATGTATCAGTTTTATAAAAAGCAATGGGAGACTCCCACAGAGCTTCACCCGTCAATCTCCGCCAGTGTTTTCATGGTTCCCTTCCACACCTGATGACTGCTTGGGTGGGAGCCCAAGTGGGGTAAGAGGTGCTACAATCCAGGATATGCCAGGGCCACAGGCTGGAGGCTGCATAGGACATGTCAAAAGTCCTGCCTTGGCTCATCCAAAGGAAAAGACCATGCCCCACAACAGGAGAGAGGGAGCTAGGGGAAGAACACTCAATCTGAGAGCTCTGCGAACAATTCCAGTGGCCAAGGACCAGGTACTGACAGGCAATGGATTGCACAGCCACCTGTCCTAGGGAATGGGGGTGACCTGCACCCACTCCTACACGGAAGTTCCCGGGTCACTGATCAGTAAGAAAAGCTGCCACCACACTGACTGTTTTTAAGGCCTTTTGCTGGACTGATCAGGAGCAGGGTGGGCAAGCCTGCTCTCAGGTGGTGGTACGAGAAGGAGGCCCTTGTACCTTGACTTTGACAGGCACACTGGCTCTGGCTACGCCCAAAAAGTAGGACCAAGAAGTGGGCCACAGGGCCCCCATATCGCTCAGGGCGCACCTGGTCAGGATCATCAGAGCAGGGACCAGAGAGCTCGGGGCAGCCCGGAGGAGGGGGGCAGCAGGACTCACCCGTCCACAGTTCCACGCTGGCCTGGGAATCCCACCCTCGCTCCTGCTCAGAGCACAAACCAGGAACAACTCCAAGTCTGTCATCTCTGATCACGTCTCTCTGACCACGAGGCTGCATCATTCCTGTCTGAGCTAGTGCGCTGGAGGCCAACCACCCTGGGGCAAAAGGTGGCAGGAGCTACGTTCCAACAATCAGGGGAAAAAAGAATTTCAAGCCACAAGTGCAGACTCCAGTGGTTTGAGAAACAGCGAGAGGGCAAGTCAGCATTAAGGAATTATTTTTACTACAGCAACTGTTCTCCTGAGACTGGTTCTTCCTGTGTTTAACCTTTTACTCTTGGGGCTGGAAAGAAACACATTAAAACCCCAGCCTCATACACTGAGCAAATTCACAGCTAAACCCAGGCACCAGAGCCCTCTTGAAACAACACTAACTATCTTCCTGTAACTGATTATTCTGATTTGTAATTGAACCACCCCATGCTCCCTTCTGATTAAATGCATGGACTCTAAGAACCACATAACGAGGCGACTGTGCAGTAAATACTATGTGTGGTTTCGGTGGGAAATAAGCTGCATCCAGCAGCTGACTGGTAACCACAGGCTGGGGTTTAACTCTGTCACAGGAATCACTCCCACAATGAGGAGCTCCTCCTGGCTCACCACCCTGCATGGGAAAAGTCACAAAGACAGTCTTACCACACACAAAACTCTCTGGCGGCACAGAGAAGATGCTCAGGCCCTTCAGTGCTTCCGGGTGGGCGCAGGTGGCTGTCACAGAGGCCTGCAGCGTCCTGCCCAGCAGCCACGGGGGCAGCCACTTGAGCTGGCAGTCACACAGGAAGCTCTCACTGCTGATGTGGCTGTTAAGAAAAACAAGGGGCATTTGAGGTGTGGCTGGCAGAAGAAATATTCTCTCAGGACACACAACGACCTGTCACTCTGATCAGCTTCTGCCATTCATGCCAACAGGCGCAACAGGGACGACTCCTCTCCCAGCTCTTCAGGAAGGACGCGTGATCTACCTGGAAATTCGGATGTGACACAGCTCCTGGCTCCGAAGGCCGGGTGGACCCACGACTGCATCTCTAACACGCTCCTAGGTGCTGCTGACATGCTCGCCTAAGGACCACATAGAGTAGCACCAGCCCGAGCTCCCACCTGCTCTAGGATGGCCACACTCTGCTGGGACCCGGGACCCTGCTCACTGCTCCCGGCGAGAGAGGGGCAGCCCTCTCCTGGTAAACTACTCGGCGCCTCTAGCTGTGACCTGAGACGTGGACCTCAATTCTGAAACCCGCTCTGAGGAGGCTCTATTGCTACCTATTCAGCAAAGCGTGTTTTCCTGTGCAAGCCTGGCCGCCGGCTTCGCACTGGTGCATCTCTGCACCCGCACCACAGGGGGCAGCTCCGCTCCCTACACTGGGTTAGTTCACTGCCACTGCCGGGCCATGAGAATGCGCAGCCTTGGTTTAGTGAGGCTCCAACCAAAACATAGAATATTTTCTTTTTCATTTCTCAGCAACGAAAGATCAGTTTTTTAAACAGAAATCGGAATCGCCATCTCAGAGGACATTCCTTCCCGAGGAGTCACTTGACAAGCCAACCACAGGGTCGCACTACCCTGTTCCTGGGAGGCCCTGAGCCCACAGCAAGGATAGGACCAAGGGGACACACAGGCCTCCTTATCATAAACCGTCTCCAGGACACGGGTCCCCAGAAATTCCAAGAGTCACGTGGGCAACATTATGGCGACAGCTTGCTTCCAGCCACTGTTTCCCTCAGACATCACAAAGAGCAACCATGGGACAGTTCCCGTGTTTCCTTCTGTTTTGCTCCAGCCTTCTAATGAGCAGAGCTGGTCGACCAGTGAAAGCAGGGGAAGGAGGCTGAGGGCCGAGGGCCCCGGGCTGGCTAAGTCGCACCTCTCTTCCCACCTGCTCCGTCCTCCCAGATCAGCGAGCGAGGCATCTTAGCTGATTCAACTTATTTTGGGAAGTACTTTTTTGAAGACTGAGTAATTGTTCCCAAAGCCATTGTAAGTGGGATGTTTGCCCAGGTGAGACTTTGAAATCAACATTAGATTTTGTATCTGAACTCGGTGGGCTGGTGGATCTGTGCTCAGAGACGTCAGGGCTGCTCGCTGCCGAGTCTCTGCGGGCGCAGCGGCTCACGGTGCGGAGGCCACGGCGAGGCTGCGCAGCGCCTGGGGGGCTTCCCCGGACACGCTGTGTGCAGAGAGGAGACTGCCACCTGGACCTCTCCCTGCCAGGAGCTCCATAGCTCCCTGCAAGAGGGCATTTGGTCTGACTGCCCCTTTCTGTGTAGTCAGCAGGACAGCCTGTCTAGAGATGACCCTGGGCCTTCACCGTGAGATGCTCGCACTCAGTGGGGGACAGGGACAGATTCCATTTGAGACACAGGAACAGGTTGGGGAAAACAAATCTGGCGTTTGTCCTTGATCAGAAACGTGTATGGAAAGGGTCGAGCCTTGTACCACACACTCAGTGTATCCGCTGGCCCAAGCCCGAGGATTGCCTTCTTCCTCCAGTGAAGCCCACCTCAGCAGGACCCAGACCTCAGAAGCCACGGGCATTCAGGGTGGAGAGAGCTTTCCTACGGAATGAGAACCAACGGGACAGATGGAGAGGAAAGGGAGCCAGACAGTGAGGACGCTGACCGCCGACTTCCCATCCACACACACAGGGCTGTAAGGACCAAGTCTAGGTGGAGAGACTTGGACATTGCCAGGGATCCCGAGGCTCTGCAGACTCCATTCCTACCGCACCAGCTAAAGGCGCAGCCTTGCCAGCGCCCTTGGCTGCCGCCAGCCACCCCGATGCTCTGCTGGCTTCCATGGTGCATGTCACGATTCCAGCTCAAAGTGTGTTTCTCATCATGGCTGTGGAAACTTACCCAGAGGATGACTCAGCGCACAGCACAACCTGCCTGACCCGACGGGCAAAGAAAAGGACCCAGTGGGACTAGCCGTGTCTCCCACCCGAAAGCCAGACCAGGGCCAGCCACAGCTGGGCACACGCAGTGACCGATGGGAACCCAGGCGGAGGGCCAAGGCCGGGCCCCAGGACTACGCATGGGGGTGAGGACGGGTGTCCAGCACCTGGAAGGGTCCAGTTAATCCCAACTAGAAAACGGTCTCAGGAAACTGGAATTTTTAGGCCAAAAGGAAATCTTGTCTCCCTGTCCTTCCCTTTCTCTCAAAATGTCCCCTTCCCATTTAATCAGATATTTTTAACATTATATTCGAAAAGTTTCAGAAACAGAAAGGTTGAAAGAAACAGATTTTACAGTAAATGCCTGGCGACCTGTGCTCCATCACATGTCTGTCCATATATCCCCTCCTACAGACTCTGCACTCAGACTGTGACCCCCTAAACCAGAGCGTCCACTTGATGGACTGGAGCCTCACAGCAAAGCCAAGTCACGCCCAAGAGGACTGTCCCCAGGGGCCTGATCCTGCTGTGTTTCCAACTGCAGGACTGTACCCCTACTTCTCCACTCCCACCCCCACCCTGCAGTCTAGGGCCCACCTGGAGTGGCCTCAGGAAAGAGGTCAGGGGGCAAAGATAGTCATCCTTCAGCATCGTGCTTTGAAGCCCTTGTGAAAACCAAAAGCCACACTTCAGGGCACAAACATTATGGCCAGAACGTGCTGGCTGCAGATCAGGTTTATGTAGGAAGGAGAAAGGAGCTCAGACACCGAGACCAGTTCCTCTGCCAGACTAAGACACAGGTAAACTCTGCTAACCCTTGTCACCAAGGGCCTACGATGACAGTCTACAGAGGCGGCACCACCCTATGAACTCCAGGGGCCCTGGAAACAGACATGGCTATCCCATCTCACTTCCCATAGTCGCCTCTGCCCTGCCCACTACCCAAGTTCTTTACAGGAGCCCCTTGTGACACAGGCCTTCACTTAAGCAAACCCAAAGGATGATACTTGCCCCTGACCTAAGTAACGATGGCTGGACACCTAGAATCCACTCACATTACTCAGAGCAGCAGGTGGTCACCCAGAGCCTGGGCCCCTCTCTTCTGTACCATGGCCTCGCCTTGTCACTTACACATCATTTACGGTTGCTTCCTGCTACAACCAGACCTGCTTGTGAAGACAGAGACCCCATGGCACACAGAGCTGAAAATATCCAGAATGTGGCCCTTTGAGAAAAAGTGTGCTTACCCCTGATCCAGAATAAGCCCCCACAGGGAATTCTTTAGAAAGACAATTTAACTTACATACAAAAATAAGTGGTCACAACTATTACATAAGGTGAGGCACAATCCAAACAAGGTGTTTCTTACTCTGAAATTCTCTACGCATGTTAGGCAGGCCTCGGGACGGCAGATACTTACAGCTCTTTCAGATTCTTCATCTTCACAAAGGCGTCAAACTGGACAGACCTGATAGCATTCCCGGCAAGGTTCCTGCAAAAGAGCCATCGTTACTGATGCAAGGACACGGGGCACCCTCAGTCAGCCCATGTCTGAGCCAAGAGGCTCAGGGGTTTTCAGGACAGCCTCGTTTTGCAGCGAGCTGCAAGTACCAGCCAGACCCATGTCCTGCCCTGAGTTGACTGTAAGTGGCTGTCATTTCACAGATGTTGACACCAGCCCTTGGAATAACTCTGGAACAAAGCCAGCCTTAGGGGAGCACCGAAGCCAGGTTAGGGCCTGCCCAATAAGTCAACAGGCAAAGTTTTCCCAAAAGAAGTCAAACTGCACTCAAGGACAAAATAAATGAAGAACCAACTACTAGAGTCATCGCCTCAGAACAGCCCCACAAGGAGAGAACCTCCTGGGAAGCCCAGCCAGGGCTCAGCACAGTTAGGCAGCTCTAGTGGAGGTGCCAGGCTGGAGCCAGGACAAAGCACCTTCAGGAAGTGGGAAGGAGACCACGGGCCCGTGGAGGAGCCGGTGCAGGGGTGAGGCAGGGCAGGAAGAGGGGGGGGATTTACCCAAACACCAACTGCATTAACTAGGAGTTCACAGACTGGCCCTATGTAGCGTAACTGTTCCTGGCATAGGCAAAATAAAGGCCAAAGTTGAAGCTGACTTATAATGAGAAGGAAACAGCTGGTGTTTCCAAATTGCCTGTTTCTCAGTTTACAAAGATGTGATTAAATTGCTAGCAGACTCCCCACAGCTGCATTTGGCAGCCTGGGGTCAGGGAAGGTCTGGAGAGATACTCACAGGTGCTCCAGGCTGTCCAGCCCCGAGAAGGCTCTCTTAGCCACGGACTTGATCTTGTTTCCAAACAGGGTTCTGCAGATTCCAAACATCCGGGAGGGGGGGGCGAAGGGGACAGACCAGGGAGGACCGGGAGAAAGAGAACACACAATTAGAGCAGTGCTATCTGATAAGTTTGTCCAGGGAGAGCAGGTGGAAATCTGACCTGCGCTGGGCTGATGGGTCTGGAGAACACAGCGCGCCCCCCCTTCTGAAATGAATACTTTTATCTTTATTAGAGTTTGACAGTGATGACAGGCTGGATTGCATCACCACCTTCCCTAAAAAGGCCCCTTGCGAGGTTCAGTGGAAGTCCCCTGGTCCAGCCCGGGCTCTTACCAAGGACCACCCAAGGGTGGGGACTGAGGTTCAGCCATGGCCTTGGAGGAGACAGGAAGCAGAATCAGCGAAGGACATGGAAGTTCCAGAACCAAAGCTACTCCCACTTCTGCAAACTGCATTCTGGGAAAAAGCTTCCCAAAGGAGGCAGGAAGGGGCAGCAAAGTGGTTCATCGGGATGGTGCCTCGCTCTTCGCACCTGAGGTTTCACCACAGTGAGCTGGGACCCCACCTGCGAAAAGGCCCCCAGGGCCTGCAGCCACAGTGCTCTGGCCTCTGTAGCAAGAATCCAGGTTGTCAAGGATGCCAGTGGATCCAGGCTCAGTGAGTCTCAGATACACATGCTCTCAAAGGCCAGCCTCCTGCTGCCCACCGCCTGGGAGGGGCTCCTGCTGCCAGGCAATTCCCATCCCAACCTTAGCAGTAACTGCTGAGTTTTCTTAGGAACCAAAATCTGACACAGCCCCTCCCTGCCCTCTAAACACAAGGAAGAAAGGCTGGGTAGAGCAAAGGAAAGTTTGTTTCCTGATGGGGGAGGGGCAGCACCTAGAACATGAGGGACTTTGGGAATGAAAAGAGTCAAGGTTTCCGTTTCCCCTCATTACCAGGTACCCTGATGACAGCCCACCAAGGTCCCTCTACCACCTGTCAGCACAGGAAGCTGTCTGCCAGCGAGCACCAAAGGCAGTGCTGACAGGTGGCTACGTGGGCTCCTCAAACCTGAGCACGCCAGGGTAACCTCCAGGGCTTGTTAGCAACGGGGCTGCTGGGAGTCAACTCCTGGAAATCCCAGACCTGACAACCTGGGAGGACGATCCTAGGAGGCAGGCAGCAGGTTAGGGCAGAAACCCTGCGGAGAAAGCAGGCTGGTCCAGCCCATCATGCAGGGGGAGTGGTCTTCATCCAGGCTCCAGAGAATCAAGAGAAAGATCTCAACTAGGCCAGCCCCACCAGCCCCACCTTCAGACCTACGTTAAGCTTGGGACCCACAAGAAAAAACAGCAAACGCCAGACCTCCATGAAAGGACAAAGGAAGAAAAACACAGCCTTGAAGAAATCCAAAGACTGCAGGGCAGCCCCTTTGGACTCAGCTTCAACCTCAAAGGGCCCTGGGGTGGGCCTTGGCAGATGCCAGGATGTTGCCTTCAGGAGACGGGATGCACGTGGACTGAGCCAGGCAGTGCCCATAGCACCAGGAGCACAGAGGAGCCGCCTCAGCCTGCTCCCTGGGCACGTGAGCCCCCGGATCCCCTTCTGAGGGGCTGCCCAATGCCCCCGTCATCAGGAACAAACTCTCCTTGGGCCTCTATTTAAGCTGCCCCACTGACAACTGAGTTCAGGCTTCAGACAAAGCCAGCTCTGTTTCCTGCCGCCAGAGGTGAAGGGGGGCACAGAGGCCAAAGACCCCTTTGCCTCCTCTTTCTCTTGGAGGCAGTCAGCATGGATGTGAAAACAACCCCATCCTGAAAGACTTTCCACAACCTCTTACAATCCACAGCCTTTATTTTAGAACAAATAAACCAAGCACACAGATCCCAATGGCCAGCTAACTAGCCTCCCCCCCACCCCAGTCAGGCAGTAAAGGCCCTCTAGGCACTAAACCCCAGGCTCGGCTGCACTGTGACCTCGCCCCGCCTCGTCCCCCCTCGCCTCACTCAGCTCCAGCCCAGACACTGCGCACTCAAGGTCCCAGTAAATGTTTGAACTGTAGTGAAATCTCCCGTAAACTAGATCCAGGAAAAAGCTGTGCTTTATTTCATCCATTAAATATTAGTCACGCTGACCTCTTTTACAATAAGGGCAGGCTGTTATTTCTAATAGTGACAATAGCAATAAAACAAATTCTCAATGATGGAGGCACTAATCACCCTGCTGGTGGGTGAAAACAGGCCCTACATTCTCAGCAAACACCGGGGGTGGGGGCTGGGCTCGGCTAACAGACGGTGACGGCTCTGCCACAGCCTGCTGCGGAGGAAGAGCTGGACGGCAGGCCAGGAGGATGTCCATGCCCCGTCCTATGTGGTTGTGGACACTAGACTTGGCTCCACCTGATCCAAGGCTCCTAGAGAAGGGACATCTGGCCAGATCTCCCTGTATCACTGACTCAGGGCAGAGAGTCATCCTAGGAAGTCACCCATGAAATCCTCTCATGTATCTTCTGGCCAACCTAAGGGTCCCAGAGGTATTTTTTTTTTTTTTTAAATCAATGGAAGATATTATTTTCATTGCTTTTCAGAGAGTGGAAGAGACAGAGAAGGGGGAAGAGAGAGGGAGGGAGGGAGGGAGGGAGGG